ATTTTCTTAAAAATCAATTGACCATACTTAACACCAAAAGGAGACGTTGAGCTTACATTTTCAATTAAGTATGGGTTTGTGTAGGCTAGGAATTAACACTTAGCTTGTGGGTTGTGTAAAGAAATGAGTTTTAAAATTTTGGATAGGTTTCTAATGAGTGCTTGCCTATGAACTCACACGAAAAAAGTAGTTTGAGTGGTTGGAGTACTATTTTGTGTACTTCATGGTCAGTAATCAACTTCTTGCACGTTTAGATTTTGATTTATATCTTTAGATTTTTGTTCCTTTTTATAAATTCAATGAAAAGTTCGTATCTTGTGAAAGGAAAATTTACATGTTCATTCCTCTCCTTTTCCTGTCCTTTTGTTTATTCACGATGCACACTTGCACAAATGTTTTGAAGAATAATACAATCTGCCTCTCATACAGAAGGAGAGCCTACTTATAGAGGCTTCCAGCTTAGGAATACAAGATAAAAACCCAAGTTACTGCGCAGTAACTACTAAACTAAAGATATATCCAGCTATTCCCTATTGAGATTAAAATAACAGCTAGGTTGACTACGTCAATTCATCAACGTCCAATCAATCAATTAACTTCCTATTCTCTCCCTCCATTAATTATCACTCTCGACCTCCCTAATGGCTGCCGGACTTGTCTTTATCACATAGGTGAAATGGAGAAGAGGGAACTTAGCCTATGAACACTTCCTACTCATAACACTTCCTACTCATTCTTCCACCTTGTATGACAAGGTAAAAGCTAGGATACTGGTCATGAATGATCTCGAAAGGTGCCCCAGAAGTATTGAGTATTATTATACTAAAAATAAAATTGACGTTACCAGGGGATTTAAACCTTCAAAAACTGTGAGGTATCCCCTCACACTACTTTGATTGAAAATGATAAACAAGCCCGTAGGCGATACAGAGCAAGAACAAAGCACACAATCAACCCAACAATTCGAGAGGGTGGGTGTTCTCTCCCTAGGCTACACAGTAGCTCCAAAATACCCTCCCACTAAAAAGGACTAACAGGTACGCGTCCTACCCTACTCCTAGCCCACCTTTCTCTCTCTTGGCCGTTATGGCCTACAACGGTTCAGTATCTAATTACCTCCTTACCCTTATCCTTCCCCTTCCCTTCCTATGATAGGTATTGAAGACAAGAAAGCTATTATAGTACAGCTTCCAAAACTTCAAAAGGTTTAATGCACGATTCCTGGCTAGGTGCGTTGTTGGAGTTGCGATTAGGACACATGATAGACGGTGAATTTTGGTGTTTAAGGGCTTGGCAGCAAATTGGACATCCAGACTCTGTCAGCATAAAGCTTCATTTTCTTTTTTAACTTATCTTTAAAGATCAAATTCGTCAAAGAGCTGCCAAGAAAAGGAGGTAGGGCTCTAGCTTACAATATTAAGGATGGATTTTGTTTCAGGTGTAGTGTGGAAAGTAGTACTCTACATAGTCTGATATTATTTCCAGGGCAAGCATTTCATCCCTGATCTCAATTCTTAGGATATGGTGAAGCAAGGAAACAAAGATTAGACCTCAAAGACGCATTGACCCATTCTGACTAGCCACCTATCTAGCAATAAGAGGCTGAACACCATTTCGGAAGTGCCCATTACAGCTTAAAAGAGCTTCTGCAAAGATGATCTCCAAAATATCTTATCCCTATTCAACATACTATGCCTCTGTTTCCATGATTAAATTTGCCAAAACTTTAAATAATTTTTGCTATGGGCTAGGTAGCATGGACACGCTCAAATCGAAGAAGTGTTGGTTTCCTTTTACCTAGTTTTCTTATTTCTTCTTCACCAATCCACGATGAAGCTGTAGGTCTTCTTTCTTCTCTAGAAACCAAATAAAATCAACCAAAAGGTCATGTACTCCCACCAAACTTATAGAATATAGGTGAATAAAGAAGAAGGAAGAAGAGGTGGTGAGTTGAGGAAGGAGGAGGAGAGGAGAACGAGGAGAGGAGGCGAGAAAAAGAAGAAGAAAAAGTAGGAGGTAGCGGGTTATGATGAAAGAGATAAAAACTAGGGTTAGAAGTGGGAAGAGGGGAATCCAAGATGAAAATGAGGCCTTCTTTATTATGAGAGAAAAACTAGGGCTAGAGTTGGGTTTTCTTTATTATATATATATATATATATATATAAATTTTTTATTTAAATATTAATTAAAAACCATATAAAAAATTAATATGTCCCCAACGTGTCGTGTCCTACTTTTTGGAAATTGACGTGTCCATGTCGTGTCATATCCATGTTGCATGTCTGTGTCTGTGCTTCTTATGATATAGGGTTTTGTGCTATTCTATGAATTAAGAGGAACCTCGATGACTTCATTTAGGAGCTGTCAAATTATTGATTTAAAAACGATTTGGCTTCACAAACAATGAATGAATTTTTTAAGAAACAACGAGCTCTGTGGTTTTTATTCTAATAAATAATAAATTTAGACAATATGACTACTAAATATGAATATTATGAAAACTTTCTTTGTTATAGTTTCAAAGTTCTGTTATATTTTGGAGAAAATCAAAAGATTAGTTGTGTTATCACATCACTTTTTTTAAAAACTATTTTTGAAAATCAGAGAACAAGCATGTTAAAATAAGCTGAATTTATAAAAAACTAAATGGGTCTCATTTTTTACCTTGATTGATGCGACTATTTTTGCAGGCAATGGACAGAGCCCACAGGTTAGGCCAGCGGAAGGTCGTAAACGTCCATCGCCTCATAATGCGTGGAACACTGGAAGAAAAAGTTATGAACCTTCAAAAGTTCAAAGTTTCAATCGCTAATGCTGTTATCAATGCTGAGAATGCCAGTATGAAAACGATGAATACTGATCAATTGCTTGATCTATTCACATCTGCTGAAACAACCTCCAAAAAGGTATACTGTATTTATAGCAGCGATTTATTCTGTAGCTACAAACTTTACATGTTTTCTATAAGAAACAGGGAGATGCATTCTCAAAAGGGCAAACTAAAACAGCCTAAATGTCGGGTAGAGGGAACCCAGCCTAAGAAAGCTACCCAATCAAAGCCTTTCCATCCTTTACAATCATGAAAAGACTATAATTATAGAAGAACTTTTTATGGGTTTAACACTACCAAAAAACCGTGTGCTGAAAACTATTACAAAAAGAATCGAATGGAGACGGATATCTCTTAAAAAATTATTGATATACCTCTCTTGCACTATTCCAGATTATTTTCACCCTTTGAGCTGCCAACCAACAAAAGCTTCTAAAAGCGAATCAAGCTACAAACTTTACACTTTATTTAGGATTAATTGGATCTCAACAATTATTCCCTTTTCTGTCCATTGTTGAACAACCTATAAAAACCCCCTCTTCTTCCATTTGATGAAATCGATATTGAAAGCAGATAGGATACTCCTTATCTCTTACAGTCTGTTTCTTTCTGGAATTTATGACTGTTGTTAACTTGGTTCGTAAAACCCAGGGAGCTTCTTCCTCGTCAAATCAGTCAGATGGCAACTTTGATGGTGAGGTAAAAGCAGTGGGTGGAAAGAAGGGTTTGAAAGCCATCCTTGGAGGACTGGAGGAGCTCTGGGACCAATCCCAGTACACTGAAGAGTATAATCTTAACCAGTTCTTAGCAAAGCTTAATGGCTGAAGTCTTACACACACCATGTACAAAGTGTATATAAAGTGGGAGAGGATTGAAAAGCCCAAATTTTGACATTTTAACCTATAGGTTCAGACTTTCCTAAGACTCCCTTCCATTCCATTCCCCCCTTTTTCCCTGGGGGCTGCTGAGGCTTTTTCGATGAATGGTCGGAGAGTATAGGACGATGATGATTTACGGGAGGTGTAACGTAACATTCTCACGATTAAATGTACTTGCGGGATCGGGAGGGAATGAGAATTTGTATATGTCGGATAATGTATATACAATTCATTTCATCTTTTTAAATGAAATCGATTCTTCCATATAGGTTATTTTCAATGTAATGCTGTTGGCTTTTGCATTCAACTGTAACATTATTTAGTGTTATATTTCATGCCACAGTAATCTATACTCATCATATTTTAGATCTACAAGAAGATTTTCTTGTGGGTATTTTTATGATGATGCTTTTTACTCGCCCAGCCAATTTGAGCATATGGTTCATTTCTTTACTCCCTGTAAATGTTGAACTAAAAAGAACGATACTTTTTACCAACCATGTTCAGAATGCTAGCAACTAAGATGCATGAGAATTGGCGTTTAAATTTACGGATTGATTCGTGACAGCTCGTCTTAAAAGTATTTATACCCCTCCTTAATTTTAGAGGTATAAGGGTCCCAAGAAACATGCACTTTAACGTTAATTGCAAGTTTTACAGCTCAGCTTTCAATGCCAACGTTGATGCTCCAGCATCTCTTGCACTCAGACAAATCATCTTTAACGAGTAAATCTCCTTATAAATTCACATATAAAGTGAAATCCAAAGTTTAATTGCTATATATTGTCGTAAATTTGGAGCAAAATTAGGTTAAGGTCTGTCCTCTCTTTTTGGTCCATTTTAGAATAATTCCTATTGGCTACTCTCGTTTTTTTCTTCATACTTCAATCCTCAAGCAGCGCATGTCCTAACTCAAGCAACCATGTTCATCTTTAACTGTGCTGCAAAAGAGACAAGAACTAAGTCTAATCTTTTAAATTTTTACGAAAACAAGGACTAAAGGATTATTTTCTATTTTTCCTATTAACTTTAAATTAAAGCAATATTGGGACAAGGATACTTGCAATTATAACTATATAATCTCAATGTTTTGGAGAGTTATGAGAAGTGGACAAGTTTCCTCATGAGAGTGGAGAAAGGAGAAAGAGAAGTCAGATCATATAAAAAATTTATCATATTAATAAGTTTTGCGAGATTAGTATAGTATAATCAGCTCTTTAACCACTACATCAAATGAGATTAAAAAAAAAAAAAAGTCTCTTTTAAAACCTTATATACTTCTCAAACCCTAACAGACGGAAAAGTGTATTTTCCAAATATAATTAAAAAACTTTTGCCGGTAATATGGATTACAGACCCAATTCTCTCTCCCAAACCCCTCCGAAGTCTAAACCACCCCAGAAATCGTCGAGGAGAAGACGCTCTGATGGAGGAAGAATTGTGAAATGGAAACTGAAGGAAGTTTCGAAAACCTGCTGAGATGGGCGGCGGATCGTGGAATTTCAGATTCTGTCGACAAAGAGAGTTCAAATTCTTGTCTGGGTCGTTCTTTATGCGTCTCTCTCTTCCCTGATGCTGGCGGGTATTCTCTCATGTCTCGTTTTTTGCTTGCTTTACATTTACCTCTCTTCGTTTCATTTTGCCGCACTTAAATTCTTAATTTTGAGGGAAAATTGTGCTTCAGGAGAGGTTTAGGGGCTGTGCGTAATCTTAACAATGGAGAATTAGTACTGAGAGTTCCAAAATCTGTCTTGTTTACGACCCAAAGTTTGCTGTTGGAAAATGAGAAGCTCTCCATGGCTCTGAAGAGATACCCATCTCTTTCTTCTACTCAGGTTGCTCCTTGCTAATATGGACTTTTTATGTTGTTTTCACACTTGCTGATGCTGCTTTTGTTGAACTTTTCAATTGTGAAAAATGAAAAAAGGCAGAATACGCAAGGCATACAAAAAAACAACCCAATGAATAGAAGCCCATCTAAATCTAAGAGAGGGGCTCTAGTCGAGCAAAACAACACCTAACTGATAGTTAAAAAAAAAAAAAAAAACTTAGAAACCGACCCCACAGGAAATATATTCCCTGATCTCCCCACCTCCACCTCTAAAGATTATGTTATTTCGCTCAATTCAAAGCCCCAAAAAATTGTAAAAAAAACATGCCTGCCACCGAAAACTTCCTTTTCTTCAAAAAAGAGGATACAATAGAACCTCCTCCATCAAGCCCCGGTCGTCCCTGTTGCGAGCCCATGGCACCCCTTTATGAATTCATGGCACATTGAACATGAAGAGCATCCAAAATCATAGAGAGATAGAAATCCGTTGATGTCAAGAGTAAGCAAAGTCATGAGCTCAAATTATTTGTTCCCAGTCATAGAAGGAGAGTTGGTAAGCTGCCTATCAGAACTTGGAAAAGTATGTAAAGGCTAGTGTGGGGCGATTATTTGTATTAATAATGAGTAACTGTTATACAAAAGTATCAACATTTGGTTTGCTCTCTCAAGTCGGTGGGTTCGGGTATGAATAGATGACAACTCTTAAGCCTAATGAACACTTATCTGAATGGATGGTGATGCCATTTGGGCTATCAGATACTTTTAGCAGTTTTATGATCCTAATGAACTAGGTTTTGCAAAACATCCCAAAAAGTGACTACATCTCAAAGTAGGAGAGACGTGGGAAGAAAGAAATTTTAAGAATTACAAGCATTCCTGTCACTTGAAGTGGAGAAGAAAGAATGGTATCATTCTAAGTTCCTTAATACTAAATGAAGACTACGGGTATGCTAAAGATGTTTTATATTCCAGAGTGCAACAAATATAATGGAGATTGAACTGATTTTAGTTCTTTTTTAAATTTCAATTTGATGAACTAGAACATTTCTGGTGTGCTTTATCTGAAGATATTACCCATTTTCCCTTGTTAGAATGTTCTTAAAGGGATACTAATATCAGTTCTACATTCTTCCCCCACTCAAATGCAGAAATTGACCTTCTGTTTACTCTATGAGATTGGTGAAGGGAGCAATTCTTGGTGGTTTCCTTACTTCAAGCACTTGCCTCAGAGCTATGACATACTGGCAACTTTTGGAGAATTCGAAAAGCAAGCCCTGCAGGTTCGGTCCTCCCTTTGTGTAATTTTGTTTAGTCTTCCCTTTGTGTCATTTTTACTTATTTCTTTAGATTATATTCATATTCGTGAATCATATTCAATAAGGTGTTTTTACTTGTGTTTTTTTTTTCTTTTACGTTATTTGATAATAAAATAGTGAAAGTCATTAACAGGTGGATTATGCCATCTGGGCAACAGAAAAGGCCGCTTTGAAGTCTCATACGGAGTGGAGAGAAGTTAAAGGACTTATGGAAGATTCTAATGTTAAAAGGCAACTTCAAACATTCAAGGCATGGCTTTGGGCCTCTGCAACTGTAAGCACACTGGATTTATGCTACAAGAATGTATTACACACTTGGTTAGATAAGACCTGGATTTATACAAAGTAGGCAAACCTACCGTGCCATTTTCTTTTGAGGTTTTAAGTCTTTGTTTCCATTTTTATTTAAGTTTGGTGAAATATTTGCACCATTTAAAGGTGGTTTAGCTGGAGATCTAGCATGTATGGGGCACATACAAATTGACACGATCCATCCCTCTCCCTCTCTCTTTGGCTAGTTGGCTAGTTGCACGGCCTAACCCTTGAAGGTACTATGAAGCTTGTCTCCCGCCCCCCACCCCCCTTGATGTGGTTTGCATACGGTAAACCTTCAATGAGAAAGAGGAAAATTGCTGAGGTGAGATCATTAAGCTACTCGGAGATGGTTTTTATTCTCTGAAGACTGAAGGTGAGAACTACTTGGGCTGGTCCTCCTTTTTCTCTCTCTCATTAAAGACTGCCCTTATGCTCCCCTGCCTCAAATTCCAACCCATTAACTGTTAAGGAGTTTCCACACAAATAAACCTCCTCCATCTTCTCCTTGTATGTTTATGATATCATGTGGTAGATCCATTGTAGTGAAAAGAAGATTCTTCCATGATGATTGGTATAGAGTTTCAATTATAATGTGGAGTTGAAAACTATTTTCTCTCTTTTCAGAAAAGGTGGGTGTTTTCTCTTACTCCCCTGGCAAAAGCCCCTCTCTCTCCGAACATTACCCATTGACCCTTGCTTCATTCAAGACGAAGAATCTGTTGCTAAACTCCCAATAATTACGACAAAGAAACTTTATGAACATTCTTGAATAGAGTTTAGGATTCACCTCCGTTCAAATTCGCCGTAGCTTTATGTTGCCATATAATTTTGCAGCCATCCTATATTTTTATGAATGCCAGTTGTAGAGAGCTTGTTATATAATCTTCTCTTAGCCCTTATTTTGGAGGATATATTAGGGTGCGATTGGTTGGCAATCTGAAAACAAGTGATTCAATAAAAATAAAGTTGTATTTCTTTGTTTTTAGTGTTTTCATACGTGTTTGATAGTAGATTTGGAAATTGAATCGTAATTTAAAAAATTGTTCAGAATATATTTGTAAACTAGTGGTAGTTACCAACTAAATAGTTCAATATTAATTAATTTATTAACGGTCTCAAAAAGAAAAAAAAATTATTAACATTTTTGTTATAAATTTTGTAGAATTATTATTTTACAATATTATATAATTTATAAATATTATATTTGACATGTTTTAATATTAACAAAAAATGAAATAAGTTTATAACATGAAATAGTATATTTACTAAGGCTTTTATCTTTTTAATGTAATTATGCATTTTAAAGTTTCAAATTCAAAATTTCAAAACACTCAAAATATAAAAATGTTGTTTTTAGAATTTTCATTATTTGGATCATAGAATCCAAATATTTTTTCAAAAACAAATCTGTCAAACACATATTCACTTAATCCATTTTCACAAAATCCATTTGATTAGCAAATCTGGAAACAACCAACAAGAACAGAAAACTCATAACAAACAAGCCCTTATTGTCCTCACTTGTGTCTATTCTTTCAATGTGAATACAATTATTTGTTCCTATGGAAAAACAGGTATTGCATGATTTGTCTAATACATTGTATGATGAATCTAAAGTTAGGAATTGGTCCTATGTAAATTTCTTCAATCTTAATCCCAGTTTGTTGCTCTTCTTTCTACATTCAGTGGTTAAAAACTAAAAATATATGTTACCCTTTGAGAGATATCATCTAGGGCATTGTATGTACCATGGGATGAGGCTGGATGTCTATGTCCAGTTGGTGACTTGTTTAATTATGCTGCACCTGAGGGAGAGTCCCTTGATATTAGGGATGTCTCATCTTTTTCACAACATGCTTCTTCGGGTGGAGACATGACTACTGACGAGTTACACGAAGAGCAGGGGGATACTCAGCGGGCTTTGACCGATGGTGGATTTGATGAAAAGGTCTCTGCATACTGCTTTTATGCAAGGGAAAGTTATAAGAAGGGACAGCAGGTATTTTTTGTTCGTTTCATATTTTGCACTCCTACGAGTTCCCTTGCAACTAAATGTAGTAGGGTCCGATGGTCCAGTGAAATTAATTGAGGTGCATGCGTGAGCTAGTCTAGATGTTCAAGGATATCAAAGAAAAAGGAAAATTAATATTTTTGGTTCGTATGCAAGTGAAGCTGATGACAGATAGATTAATTTGAGGTTTGACTTTAGTTAGTTGATTCTCTAAGATGAAGAAAGTTCAAATTTACTTTAACTTGAAACACTGTTTTAGATTTTGATGCTTTCTTTTTTATCTATAACTTGGGATGTTCATAATGAAACTAGAGATTGTGTTCTTCATGTCTTAAGACTCTGACATTGCACTGATTTTTAACATTACCTTTTAGAACAATTTTTAACATATGCTTCATCTCTCATCACTGTTTTAAAATAAAATCAGACGTGAGACATCTCCCTCACATATGATTCTCTCTCTAAAAAGAATCTGTGGATGAGTAAAAAAAGATTGAAACGTTTCTATTGTTTGCTGCAGGTTCTTTTAAGCTATGGTACATACACAAACTTAGAGCTTCTTGAATATTATGGGTTTATTCTACAGGAAAATCCAAATGACAGAGTTTTTATACCTTTGGAACATGACATCTACACTACCAGTTCTTGGCCTAAGGAGTCTCTTTATATTTGTCAAAACGGAAACCCATCTTTTGCTCTACTTTCCGCTCTGAGATTATGGGCAACCCGCCCGAACAAACGTAGAGGTGTTGGACATCTTGCTTATGCTGGGTCACAACTCTCCGTCGATAACGAAATGTCTGTGATGCAGTGGTTATCAAAGAACTGCCATACTGTTTTAAGCAATCTGCCAACATCGGTTGAAGAAGACAGACGACTTCTGTGCAACATCTGCAAAGTCCAGGATCTGCAGATACCGAGGGGACTCGGGAAGATGCTATCGACTTATGGTGGTGAGTTTTGTGCTTTCTTGAAGACCAATGGTCTGATGAACGGAGATGAAGCCGAGTTACGTTTAACCGGGAAAGTAAAGCATTCTCTGGATAGATGGAAATTAGCAGTCCAGTGGAGGATCTCGTACAAGAAGGCTTTGATTGATTGCATAAGTTACTGCACCAGAACTATTAGTTCTTTATCTTAATCTGGGTCTGAGTCTAACTTCTCATGATCCACTGCGGAACTTGTTCCTTCCCATTCTATTAAATGAACTTTATGGGGATGAAAAAAAGGTTTGTTACTTTCAAAGTTCAATGTCAAAAAAGAAAGGTGGATGTCTCAATTCTATAGAAATATTGTTGGAAATATTGGCAAAATGTCAATATCAAATACAAATTATTTAAATTAAAATGTTTGTTATGAATATCATGTGTTTATTTATGATATTTTGTTGGCTTTTTTTACGATACAATGGAAATAGCGACCCACTTATGTTGATGTGCAATCAATGTACGTATAGAAATATGGAAAGAAATGTTACATGGTGATGAAAATTTAACATTTGTCAAAATATAGAAATTTCTTGGATTCAATAGGAGAGCTATCCAATGAGAAGTGTCTTCTAGAATGAGCTATAATGCTAAAGGTCATGTTGCAGTCAATTTGGGAGGGAACCCTAAGGTTATTAGATATGTACTTGGTGAGAAAAATTTAGTTTCTGCATTTAACAAAATATATTAATCATCCCTAATGATAAAAATCTTATTGTAATTGTGTCATACGAATAGACAAATAATTGAATTATTTTTTTTTATTTTAGATTGTAGGTTTGTTGGCTTCTTTCATTTTCCCATGAATTGTTTTCCAGTCAATTTTCCCGACGATTAGTATAAGGATTAACTTATTTCAAATAAAAATATGAAAACCAAAATAATATTGAAAAAAGTAGTATATTTTAATCTTAGTAAGAATGGTATTAGAAGTTTTAGCAGTATAAATATGTTTTAAGTTATCGATTAATAGAATTAATACAATCATAATTTGGTAGATAAAATATCTATTATCATCCAAAAGGTCAATAGTTCGATTTTCTACTCTGTAATTGTTAAAAATAAAATAAAATAATTATCAATTGATGGTAGAGTTAAAAAACAGATTTGATCCCTGAACTCAACTGAATTCCTATACTTTAAAAGTGATAACAATAACAACTGAATTCCTATACTTTAAAATTGATAACAATTTAGTCCCTACTGTTACAAGGAATGTTAGAATATCCATAAAATTGAGACATCGATATCAACATTTAAAACTTTAACGCTCATAACTAAAAAGAAAAGTCCTCATAATGATTTCAAACTCGAAGGAAATAATTAGAAACAGGTTGAAATGTTTTTTCAACACTTGAACTTGTACCTATTCCTGATCCTCAAAAATTTGGTCCTTGTTATTTCCTCATTCAATAAAAACTTAATATACATCACTTGGAACCGAAGCTTCTTTGGCTCATTATACAAATGTCCTGCTTTTTCCAACATAACAATCTAGTGACAAAAACTGAGATGGACATTTATGTAAAATTCAGAGATAAAGTAGAATGACCAAACTAGAGAAAATAGTGAAACTATGAAAGTAGTTTGACTAAAACAAGATCTAAACTATGTCCAGGAGCGAGCCAAATGCAGAAACAAACACAGATATTGAAAGGATTGAAACAAGATTTAAACTATCTTCATTTCCTATCTCCTTTTCTCACATGTTCCATCTTCGCCATTAAACTCCATTTTCGAACCCCATATATCCTCTGCTTCCCCTCTCTTCTGATGTTTTAGAGGCATCCATTGCCTCTACTTCACCAAACTGACCTTTCTTGGACTCCTCTTTCAGTGGAACACCCCCTTTGGCAACTCCCCTATTATCCTCCTCCATCTGCTGAAACCTTTGGTCCCTAACAGTGAAAACGCTCTCTCGAACTCGATGTCTTCAATGCCATACAATTTGATATTTTCCAAACTTGAGCCAATCGAGGAATCGATTGTGTCCCATTAGATGATCCCCAGGTGGGTTCATGATGGATATGATCAATGATCATCACTTGGGCTGACTAATGTGGTTATTGTCACTGTTGTGTTGGCTTTGCTGGACTGCCATGTGCCTATGAGCCTAGAAAAAAATGATCATTATTTAGTTCGATATGTGGGGGTAGAGATTTGATCCTCTGACCTTTATGTTCGGTACATATGCCTTATGAGTTGAGCTATACTCAAGTTGGCAGCAAAAAACTGTCTATTTGAGTTGTGATAAATTGAGTTGTCTATCAACACAAGTGAATTGAGATAGTGGCAGACTCTTCTCTCATTTTCGGTCTGAGAAGCCCTCTGCATTCATGAATGAACAAGATTAGGGAGTATCCCATCTTGCATCCATGAATGTAGAGAGTTGTTGAGGAATAGAGATGATTTGTAAAATGGGGTAAGGCTCTAGTGTTTCAAGCACTGTATTGTTCACTTTCTTTATAAAAAGTTCATAAAGAAATGGTGGGTGCCCCAAAGCGAGACGCCCTCCTGCTTTCAAGAAAGCACGACTAGCCATGCTTTTTTCAAGATACTGACATTATGAACAATTATGAAATGTACATAACAAATGAATACTGTAATCCATTCAGCTAGACTTCAGAAGAAAGCTTCCCATGATAGATATAGATTAGTTTTCATCTTCAACAGGATAAATCTTTAGGAAAAATGTTATTTATCTGATTGAAGAATAAAAATGTCACCTCTTGTCCAGATATTTACAATTCCCTAAGAATTAGAAACTAAATAACAAAAAGATGGAGTGAATCAAAACCACCATGGCTTTGGCAGGCTGTATTTTCAAGTGCTTTATCAAACATTCCTAAAGAATTCATGAATGATGATCCAATTCCAAAGCTATACAATTATAAATGTTGTGGCCTGTGATTTATGAAATGGGTTTCTATGTGTTATTACATTGACCAGAGGGAAAAAGAAAAACAAAGAATAATGAAACTCCTAATCTCATCAAATCAACTAAGAAAATCCGAGATAAAAGTGGAAAAAAGGGTAGAATTCACCTCTCATCTTGAGAACTTAGTGTTAGAGAATCCTGAAACCAACTCTTCTACAAGCATCATTGGAACCTCCTTCAGTCCTTCACAGCTTCTGATGAGATTCAATAAGCAAAGCATTAAGCATAATATGAATGGCAGCTTCATATACAATACCATCGTAATGCATCCCATCCACTGTACATCGAACCCCACAATTCCAACTCAAAGTCTCAATGTCCAGCAACAAGAGGGGGCCACCCGACGAGCGAAGAAGCATGCTCTTGCGGAGCGATTCGTCGTAAGCCACCCTCATTGTATCAGTCATCTTCTTCCTCTTCTCCTCAGTGTTTAACATGGAGTTTATCAGCGTTGGCATTCCAATCCAGAACAAATGTGGCGTTCGAATGGACACAGAGCCTGTCAAAGGCCCTTCAGATCCAATTTCTGGAGTCAATGGAAGCATGGAAACAACCGAAGTTCTAAGTAATTCCAAGGAAAATCCAAACTCTGATGCGTTAGTAAAATGAAGCATATGCCATAGCCCCGACCCCATGATTAGAACATCAGGGTAGCTACGATTCTGCTTGAATTCCACCATTAAATCAGTCAAATTAGAAGCATAAGGAGCCCAAACGAAATCCAATTTCATCCCAGTTTCGCCGATCAGAATCTGGTAATTGCTATGCCGCTTGAACAGATCCCCCCTGATGGCTTCCATTCGTTGAGAATCTAACGTCAAATTCAGCAGCGAGAGAGCCATCAGTCTCGCCTGAGAGTCGCCGGCGACGACCACCCACGATCCATTAAGCAAATCGGTGGCATCCATAGGAGCCAGCTTCTGAAACCCACAAGCAATAACAGGAGCAGATCTTCCCCATTTCCATGATTTCTCATAATTAACAGAGTTATTACTCAAAGGGTTGAATCCAGGGCTCTGCTTGACTTCCCAAACAACTTCATGTAACTGGGAAACGCAGGAGGCTCGGCTGTCGAAGATCACGACGGAGGAGACGGTGGTGACGAAATCGGAAACAGAAGGAATGTAGGGCGTGAGATGGACGCCGATTGCAAGGGTTATAAACAGAGCGCCGCTGAAGAACAGCATCTTATTGCGGCTCAAATGCCATCCCGCCATTCCCATCGGCACGAAGAGCACCACGCACGCCGCTAAAACTCCCCATTGAACACCACCTAACATAATTAACAACAACTCTCTGAATTCTAACTTTCCCCCACAAAAAAGTCCCCAATAGAACCGAATAATCCGATCTCCGAGGAGGATTGGGAGGTGGGAAATTCTGGGATTGTTGTGTTCATCAACAATATTGGAGTTCTTTGGGAGGAAGATCCATATAGGTCGAGGGATGGAGAGAGGTTGGTTGGGCGGTTTCTGGCTTGAAAAATAAGGAAACTCAATGGAAAAATTACGTACCGCCGGCTGTGTTTCAGGATGGATGAGCTGAGATGATAAGGAAGTTTATTGAGAATGTTCGCCGGAGTGTCGCCGGAATTCCGCCTGGGGAAACTTAGTAACGCCGGGCCGCGGCTTCCTATATGTAGTATTTAATACGAAGGGAAGTTTAAAAAAAATGTTACCTTTTTCTGTAAGTTACGTATTTATCTCATTTTCAGGTTTGACTCCACCCTGCAATTGTAGAAAATAAAGAGCAATTAATCTACAATAACTCTTTCAAAATTTACAAATTTACCAACAATAAATTTTAATAGAGTTGAAAGTAAAAAGTTATATAATTTCTAAACTCATAGGTGAATTTTCATATTTTGATTCGAATATTTATTTTAACGAGTTAACTATTTTCAAGTTAGACTTTTTTTTTCTTTCTAATTTACCCAAATTACAATGAGTTTGTAGCATAGCATTTACTAGTTTTAATTAAGTTTATGATCCAAAGTTAATAAGTAACGGATGTTGAACGTGAGAGCTGTGGATAATAGAAAGTGGTTACTCTTTGTTTGTTTGGCTTTTTAGTTTTTTATCTTTTATCTTTTTGTCTTTTTTTTCGTCTTTACATGCTATTATCTTAATTAAACTAGTCTTTTCCAAATGCAAGAAGCATTTTTAATTTTATTTTATAATAATGCTAAACTTGATTTAATAGAAATTACATTAATATACGTAATTTCATTTCATTCCAAACTTTTTTACTTTAACCACTAACTATCATACTTTTGTCGGTATGTAATTTTTTTTTTCTTTTTTAGTACAAAATGTGAGAGTGGAGATTCACCTTAATAGTTGACCCACGTGTGCTATGTTTGGTCTAGTTTTATAATTTTTTAATTAAATTTACACTTACTACTGTATTTTTGTAATTTTTTAAAAATTACATTATTGATCAAATTTGTCCAATATTCCGACACTTGAGTATTAATGTTTCAACTTTCAAGCAGTTTTCATGGAAGCAATGCTGTTTGATTAGAGGACCTAGAACTGGAGATGAAGAACCAGCAACAGAAATTTGAAAAAAAAAATTCAAAGGTCGAACGAATGCGAATTGAAAATGTCCATGGATTCGGCCATGGACGAGATGAGTATGATTCGGCCATGGATTTCTCGGAGTTTCTACTTATTTGTATGAAGATCAAGAAAACTGTAAGAAAATTGACCTAGAATCTAGGTTTCATTTCCTGCTAATTGAATATGAAGTAATGTTACTTACCACGCGGTGCGCTCAAATCGGTGTTGCTCCGCCGCAATCCAAGAGATCGACGCCCTGTTTCCACCGTCTGGTCCGCCGTTCGAAGATCGCCGATACCGTCCGTGAAGGCTGCGTAATTTCCGGCGTACCAGCCGCCGACGGCGCCGAGCAAAATTGGAGATATTCCGGCGACGAACACACTATACTTGTAGCTTTTAGCGTAGGAAAGGGCGGAAATCCGGGGAAGAATGGTAGCCTTTATTTTTTTTTTTCTCAATTGAACAAAACCTTTCTAATGTTAGTTCTTAAAATATAAAAATAATACGTCAAAAAAATTATATATATATATATAGAGACCAAAGTTTTAAATATTGGTGTCCAAGGATATTCTTGAAAAAGTTATAAAAATAAAAAACTTGAATAAAATATTTAAATTAACTAATAAATTCTTTCACCATTTCTAAATATGTTAAAAATGATTAAAATTAATATTATGTAATTTTGTTGATATTCTTTTATATTTTTTTGTAATATTATGAAAATATCGATTTACCTCCTATGTCGATGTCGAACCCATGGATACATGGATATGTCGATTAACATCTCGTCAAGATATTTAAAACCATAACATCAACTACTCCAACCCACATATTTCTTTATCTTGTTTTTTAAACGTTTTCAAAATCTAAAAAGTGTTTCCAAAAAATTGGTTTTGTTTTAAAATTTGATTAAGAATTTAAATATTTTAGGAAGAAAAGGTGTAGAACGCAAGTATGAGAAAATAAGTATAATTTTTTAGGGGAAAAAAAACAAAATACGAAATTAATGGAGCTTTAGCTTTTCACGGCACTTAATTCAACACAATTGTTTAGGTTTTAAAATTTTGAAATAAACTCGATACCGTAAAACCAACAAATAACTTATGAATCAATAATTCAAGTATTAAGCTCTTAAATATATGGTCTTTAAAAAATATATATAGAGCATTTCATTTTACAAAAATGATACAAATTTTATTATTAAATTTATGAACACATCATACTTCATACTTCATATTGTATCAGTCACGCCACAAGCCAAATTGCATAAAGATCATCTATGAATTCTTTTAAATGCTTTTTTTTTAAATTTAAAGGTGAATTTTTTGATTTTATGATTTTCTCTTTCGACATGTTCGTATAATTGAGATCGCAACATTTTTGTCAACATCGACATTCAAAACTTTACCTACAAACTCATGTCATGTCAAGTCAACTATGTCACGTCGAGTTGACTAAACCCGCTAAAACACAAGATTAAATGAACAATACCCTAATAAATCCAAGCATTAGTCTAGAACTTTTGGTTATTATGTAATATATATTATTAGAAACTCATTTTGGTCTATAAACGCCAACAAGTTCATCGTATCCCAAAAGAACATTGCCAAACTGGACGCATATTACTGACAAAACCGCATGCTTTTTTTTTTTGGTACTAAAAAGAGTACTCGGATGCCAAAAAGCTTCTGCTCTGAAGAAGTTGTGGATGCAAAGCAAAGGTATTATATTATATATCTTCTTGGCCATTTATTTCCTGGATATGAAAATTTTAAGAGCATAACATTCAGGTCAGTGTATCCACAGCACAGAATTATGATCTTGTCAAAAGAGATTTTAACTCCTTTTACCTTGTTTTCAATTATGGCGTTGTCGGGTATTGCCAACTTGGCCCCTGATTTGGCCGAGATGGTCACTTTTCCCTGTAAAATAGCAGCAAATGTAATTTAGCAGAAGGTGTCAATCCTGTGTTTGAACTCATGCAATATTGTTTGTTTCTCTCGATAGTAACAGTTCATGTTCGTGTTATGAAAGAGTTAAGAATACATAAATAAAAGACATCACTGACCCTGGCTGACAGGCTAAAATGGAAGAACACAAATCAATGTAAAATCACTGTTCAACTGAAAATGTGAATCCCATTTTTCTTCATTTCTTTAGATTCAGAACAAAAAGACCGTGTCTCAATTAAAGTTCAAGCATAACGCTGGTTTGATGATCATTTTTATCAATTTGGGTTATTTTGAAATTTGAGTTCAGCGATCGCTTCAATCTTCCAGAAGTACACAAGTTTTTTTCTTAAACCGATATGTCAATTCGGTGTTAGGTTTGGTCCAAAACAAACAACTAGAACCAACCCCCTCACAGAATCAATATGTTAAATCTACTTATTGTATAATAAAATCTTAAGAAATAAAAGAAAGAGAAATGGAAGGAAACCAGAAGACAGAAGCAGTTTCATACCTTGAGAACAACACCAGACCCGAACGATACGTCGCCAACCACTTTAAGGCTATCAAGTTCAATGATACTGGGGATTGACTTGAATCGGCTCAAGAAGCTACCAACCTGTAAAATACAATTAAAAAAAGAAAAGAAAAGAAGAAGTAACGGTAATTATAATCTTCTATTAAACATGTATTTAAGACAACACAAGTCTGACAGGAAAAAAAAAAAAAATATATATATATATATGCCTTCTTGAATTCAGGGCCCAGTTCAATGGAAGGATTGGAAGGATCTTTTCTAGCCTTGTTGCGAATGACATTGCCATCAACTAAGGTATACAGATCAGACTGCAGAGAAGAAGAAGAAGGGAAAAAAAAACCAAATATATCAGTTTGTTAAGAAATATCAAACCAATACAAATAGTCTATGATGATTGATGGATGGGAGAGCTGGACCTGGACAAGAAGCAAATCCGAAGTTGCCTTGACAGGAAGAAAACGCGATCGCGGTACATTTATACCGATGGCATGATCAAAGAACTATTGTGACAGAGTAGAGAAAAGCGTAAGGCGTAAATATCCACGTTACAGAGACGTAACACACACGAAATCAAGAATAAAGTGTACCCTGATTGCTGCACCAGCTGCTGTCTCGAGTTGAAGAACTTTAATCCCATCAACTTCCTGGAATGATGACAATATATTAGTACCTGGCCATTTAAAAACATCCATACTTGCCTTTCTTATGTGGTTTAAATGTTTTTTGGTTTATTTTTATTTTCTTTTTGATATTCGTTAGTATCTAAGCCAACTTGCACACACCTTAACTAATCTCATAGAAACTATCCGACTCTATAACATTTGGTTGCCCAAAAAGCTCAAAAAATCTTATATCCTAACTAGATGATCACCATGTAGTTCATGTAGTTTATTTGTATTGATCTATTTTTGTTGCATTTAATAAGCAGATCCCACTAATCTTTTTTTTTTTCTTTTGAACCATTAATAACAAACCACATCAGAAAGCCAAGAGAAGCATAGCCGCGTGCATTGGCCAGATTACAAGAAACAGAAACTACCTTGGGATTTGGAATAATCTCCATCTTAAGTGCATCGGCTTCCACTAGCCTTTTGATTGCTTTCAAGTTCACCCACCTAAATCATACATTACAAATGGTTTTTTAGAAAGGCATTCTCAGTGATTGTTAATTGTGTATCAAGAACTTTCCAGGAACAAGACTTACAAATTATTGGTGTTGAAAATTTTGAACTTCTGAATTGACTTGAATTCGTTGACCTGTATCAAACAAAGAATCACTTGTCACTTTACAAACTAAACTAGAATATCAATGTTTTTTTTTTTTTATTTGATAAGTACCGATTCATACTAGCTACTCTCAACTAATCCATGAGACAACTTATTATAACCTTTGGCCATGGAAAACTCAGCAAAATCAACTAACTCTATAACATTTGACCATAAAAGAACTCTATAGACATTTAATATCATAAGTAGACGACAACAAAAATTTGAACCCACAGCCTTCTAGATTAAAGGTGTGCCCTTTTGATTACTGGGTCGAAGATTTTATGTCTGGTTGAAATTTTAAGTTAAACACTGAACAGACATACCTACATCCAATCATGCATTTTTTAAAGCAGTACTATTCCTAAATGCAGGTTCATTAGCACCCCCATGTCCCTAAACTAAAAGAACTTTTGCTAACATTTCATGTGTTTCTATTTATGGTTCCTATGGCGAAAAACATGATTTCTTGTGTATAGTCTCGCATAATCTCAAATGTTATCCATTTCGGTACGTAGACCAAATGATACAATATGGTGGGTCTCGAAAAATCGAAGAATTACAGATTATGCATTGAGTTTCCGGCGGTAGATACATAATAATAATAATAATAATTAGTCTATGATAAGTATCTTCCATAATATGAAAATCACAGCTTAGTTCATACTTGAAAACCAAATAATTCTACCAAACTTGAAATAGCATAATCATCACTGATTTACTTACGTGTTCATCAGGGACCTGGGCAATTTCCAGTAGCTGCATCATGAAATGAAAAAGTGTTACAAGAAGCAAAATATTTATGGTCTGCAGACCACCTTAACAGGTGGTGGAAGAGAACAAGGAGGATATGGAAAAACCAAGCACAAGTGACAAAATGCCCATTTTCAACATAACCTTCATTAATATCAAAAATTTTACAAAAATAAATAAAATAATATAAAATTAGCCATAAAAGTTTCCAAACGAAAAGTCTTTAACATGAAAGGATTGCTGTAAATATGTACCTGAACCTTCCCTTCATAAGAAATGAGAGTACCACCCTTCACATCAGCCAAGGTTTTGGGTGTCACCTACATAATAAATAATGATAATTAATTTTATAAGCACGAAAAATATCTATGAGAAATTAATGAATGGGTCAGAGAAATCTTCTTTCACTCATGTTAGGACTGTGCTTATTTACGTACCTCCATGCAATACTCATTCTTGTTGTGAATCAAATGATTTAAGATTTCTATCATATCCAGAGTCAAGGACAATAATAAAAGCAGACCAAGGAACTGATTTCATGTTACGTGTAGGAGGCACAAATACAGTAAGAAATAAACTAGAGACTTAAAAAGTCGAGGCATCCACAAAATTAAATAGGGATACGTAAGTCCACAATAGCACCTAAATTGTCTGAGTTTGCAACAAAGACGTACTCCTTACCCTGCACAAGCAAAAATGGGAAGTAAAATATATGGAAACAGATATACATGGATTTATTTCAGCGAACATGTTTAGCGGGATCATGTGCAAATACCTGAGATATCAGGGCATCAAGTTTGTTACTGTTTTTCAAGGATGGGAAAACATCACCGTGTCCAGGAGGGTACCTTCACATGTACATAAATTAAAATGAAGACATCCTAACATATCTGAAAAGTAATGTAAAACTTGTCTACAGTATTTCATAACTAATATATAAACTTTAGTGGTCTTTTTTATTTCAAAACGTTCAAAAAGGGGTATGAGTTATTGGCACATCAAATCAAAACAAAAGTGGTCCTAGGCAAAAACACTACACTAATTTTAGTTGGAAAAGCCCAAAGAGACAAGTTGAGTGAATTATTTTGAGTACTAAATCGAATATTTGTCATCATACCATCCATCCTTGTCGGTACGCCCTTTGCTTGGGAGTGGAAGATAGTCATCAGCAACTAAACGTGGATATTGGCTCTGTTTATAATCACAAGGAGAGATAAACAATTTATTCCAAAGAATAAAAAAGAAGACATAAAAGGAGCTCACATATCTTTTGCATTGCACACCTGGTTAAAAGTATGGATTTCCACATTTGAACCTTTGTATTTTTCAACGATCTGATTTAAAGAAGAATTAGTAAAGCACAAGAAGTTGAGGAACAAATGGGAAATAAACATACAGATTTAAATACCTTCTGGGTATCATCGTGAGTATTAAATGAGTTCATCAGAAGCAAGGGAACCTTGCACCCGTATTTAGAATTGAGATTCTGCAAATCAAATATAAAAATCAATATAAATAAATGCGGGAATGTAAATAAATTCATTAAAGAAAATACATAAAGAGGGTGGGGAAGAAAACCTCTATTTGGATAACAATCAAGTCAAGAAATGTCAAACCATTCCGGACTTCAATGACTGACCTGCAGTGCAGAAGATAATAAAAAAACTAATTAATATGTTTACCTACCTTTTTTTTTTAATAAGAAACCACACTTTCATTGAGAAAAATGAAAAGAGATACAAGAAGTACAAAAGGAGCCTACAAAAAACAGCCCAGAGAGAAGGAGACCATTAAAGAAACGGCCTTAAATCCAAAAGAATTTGTTTACCTACATAAAGACCTCATGGTAAAGATTTAGATGATTAACAAAGTATGACATTAACAGGAATATCGCAACAAGTCCCCTGAACCTCACCAAGCCAAAAATTTTGGGAAGAATACTAATGCGCTCCTTCTAAATCTTTATTCTTTATACAATCCATTTTTTATTGAGAAACCAAATTTCATCAAGAAAAGAATGAAAAAATACGAAATTGCCAACAAAAACCGTTGACCAACAAAAGGAGCCAACCAAAAACTAAACTAACTATACAAGAAATGGCTCCAAGATCTAAAAGAGCAAGTCCTAAAAGATAATTATAGAATTCCTTAAAAACAAATACTGAAAAACAAGCATAAAATCTTACAGAAGACCAAACTTATTTCTTAGATTTGTTAATGCCTATAAAAATTATACTATTTCTCTCCAACCAACATGACTTGTTAATGCAATTTCCAACAATCGAGAAAAAGTGCAGAAGTGTAAACATTGTGGTAAACCTTACTTTGAGAAAAATAAATGTTTTGATTGTGATATTGTAATTTTCAATTTATTATTAACTGAGTTTAAAAAAAACTAAATCATGAGAGAGAGAGAGAGAGTTCAATTAATAAGAATCGACCATCATCAAACCAAAGGAGAGCACGGAACAGGCATCTTTCAATAATAAAATGAAACAAACGGATCATCAAGTGCATGATCAAAATTCAGCACATGCACAAGATGACATTTCAAGAAAAATAATATGAGGAAAGAAAATGGGTTGAAAAAGACATACTTAGGACCAGTGCAGCCCATTGTTGTCCCCAAACCTCCATTAAGCTTCAAAACGACAAGTTTGTCCAACAACTTCTTCGTTTCAGCAGGATCTACATTTACAAGGATTATATAAGCTTTTAGTAAGAAAATCTCATAAGAATCCAAGATGTAGATAATCCCAAGTAGTGGTCAACTCTGTCAAATGTCAATAAATGGAACGAAGGATAAAAATAAAGGAAAAGAAAGACCAAGAGTAGAATATTTTTCTAATTAATTATAGAAGCCAAAAAATGTTACGATTGATGATACCATTAGGTACGGGTGCCAAGGAGTCATAAGGAACCACTACTTCGTCTGTTGGAGTCTGGATCTTGCTCCATTCAACATGCTGTGCTTCCCCACTTCAACCCAAAAGTCAGAAAAATAAGAAGAAATTAGATTTCAG